ATATATGAGCCTGGATCTCTGGAATACCATTGTTAGAAATAGAAATTTGAGCATTACAAGGGTTCAGTACTTAAAGCCTTGTAACTAAATGTAATCTCTTAGTGAGAATATTGGGATACAGATGAAAGAGGATATAAAATGAGACCACTCCAGTGTTTGGAGGTCAAGCAGATGATAAATGTCTAGCCAAATAAAATAAAATTTAAATTTAAAAAAGAGGATTAGGAACAGACAGTGAGGTAGGAGAAAAACCTAGAGAGAGTAGAATGACCTAAAAGGCAAGAGGAGAAAAAGAGTCAAAGAGAAAGTGTCAGCTGCAACTAATATTGATGAGAAATTAAGGAAGATGGGGTTGGAGCAGTGACCTTTAGAGTTGACCATCTGAAAGTCTTTGTCGACCTGATGAGAGCAATCTGATTGAGGTGAGTTCCAGAGAGCTGGTGAGGTAAGACAATCAAGTCTGCACCTAGAGAGAGAACACAAAATATTTTCAGAGCTTGAGTTTCATCGGGAGTTTTCTGAACGGACTTGCAGGTTATTGGGAGTCTCGTCCCTTAGAGTCAGGCTCAGGGCCCTGGCTATTGCCTGAAGCAGAGCCTAGTGCCTTCCAGGAAGATCTGATACGGTTGGTGATGAACATGTATCCAGTTAGAAGAGTACGCCGCCAAGAGCCAGCTCTCCTGCATCCTGCAACTTTGCTTTGCCTTTTGTTGGTGACTGAAGATCTGCAGGTTACAGCATGCCTGCTTATTAGGGAGTTCTATCTCAGAGGGTCCTCTGGCCCTTTCATGCCTTAAAAGGCATTCCTCACTCATTTTTTTTCCAGAGGATGAGCCTGCCAGGTGACCTAGTTGTAATGGTTCTGGGCTGCTCAGTTTCCAGAGCCTCTCTGCTTCCCTTTTCCATCCCTGGCTTTCCGATGGCTCAGGGTCCTTTTCAAGTCAAAATAGAATTCCTTCATACAAATTGCTTGGCCTGTTTTTCAGAATATGGCTGTGCTCCACATCACTGGGCCTGTAAACAAGCCAAGCAGGGCATCTTACCTCAGTGGCAAAAACATATTTGCCAACAGGCACCTCAGAAAAGAAGGCCATTTACTTCAAGGTTACTTTGTTTGGCTTATTATTTGTGTAACCTTAGGAAATTTTATGTAATCTTGTTTCATTAGAGAAAAAAAGGGAACACTGTGATATTCATCGCATAGCCTTGCTACAGGAATGAAAAATAAAATGTTCGAAGTAGGTACCTTAAGAAAAGAGAAACTTCCTCTTTTTTTTTTTTCTTAGTGATGCTTTCAGGGACTGACATGCTAAGTGGATGAGCCACACCGAGGCCAGACAACAGCTTAGGGATCAGGGCAATGGAAGAGCAACACAGGAAACTGGGCTGCAAAGAGACTAGACTGAGGACCCAGTGGGTTATCATTAATACCAGAAGCATGGGGCAGGGGGAGGTGGTGGGAGGACTCTGGGATCAAGCAGAGATAAGATACGCTTTGCAAAGATTTGGGGGGTAACAGGATCTCTGTAGCCAGGCTCTCCCTCCTGGTCCAAGCCACTACCATCATCTCTAACACCACACTCTCCCCACCAACTAGTTTCTCTTGCACCGGAAGTCTATTCTCTATACCACAGCCTCTACATTTTGGAAAATGAAAGTCTGAACATTTTATTCTTCCTACTCATAACTGTAAGCAACCTTAGAATACCCCGCCTACTCTACCAAAGTGGCCTTCTCCATCCCTTTCTCTGTCATTTGATTGGTGGGAAAACTGAGCCACAGAGAGGGGCAATGAGTTGCTCAGTATCGCACAGCACTGGCAGATCCTTGAGTAGAAGCAGGTCTCAACAGAAGCACAACAGTTAGGGCATTATATTCTATCCCAAAGTGATATATTCTTGTGTGCAGATTTGCAAGTCTAGAGTGGGAAATGGAATGTGAGTGAGGTTAAAATAATGGGGACATGAAATTGTATTGTACTGTGGAGATGGAACTGAAAATATACCAAATGCTTTTCCTGTTCCCAAAGGCTTACATAATCTTGGCACAAGGAAAGTACTCATTTCCTTTTTACGGAACCAGTTAGGAACTTTGAGTTAATGCCCACAGGCCAGACTTCCCAAATGATCAAATGCAGAATTTCAAGCATGTTCCTGACTTGCTTCCTAACAATTCAGTCACCCAGAAGGCCAAGAGAGTGACTCAGGACTTTGTTATTCTGTACTTGATTCTAACCAACAAAGGCAAATTGGTTATGGAATTAAAGATGCCAGGAATTTGGGAGAAAGCAGATTATGTCAGTGTCGTGTTGGTGAGAGCCAAGGATAGTTAAACATAATCAGATGTGTGCTCTAGATGATAGAAAATAGTTTAATAGATTCGGGTGGAGGAGGTGGTATTGGGAAATGGCTCACTTTCAGGCACGCAACTGTGGAAGGGAAGATGATTCTAAGCAGAATTAGAAAGTTCTACGAACAACTCAATGAGGAATAAGGGCAGTAGAATAAACCACTGTGGCTACCCAATATTCCCTTTAATGTGACACATTTTAAAGCGAACTTTCCCTCACAAGACACGTTAGCCTTCACCTTTGTGGAGAGAAAGTGACCCAGAAGGAGCACGATGGGCATTAGTTCAAAGCACTCGAATTCTTATCGTATGAGGAATTGCTGAAGAAGAAGAAGGTTAATGAACCTGAGAACTGTCTTTCAATATCAAGACGTCTTTCCTACACCAGCAAAGGCAGACTTTCTGTCGTCTGCAGAACAGAATCAAGACCATTGGGGAGTCATACTTGGGTTTAATAGGAGCGACAATTCCTAGCATTTGGAGGTGTGCATGGATAAAATAGACTCTGCTGTAGACATTATCGTTGCTTCTCTCTTGGTGCCTGGACGACTCCATCTCCTACCTCACTGAAGTCAGGCATGGCCCTGGGAGTGGCTCTAGCTGATGAAACCTGAGTCAAAGTAAAAGTGTTATTTCTGATAGTTGCCAGTGCTTAACTCTTCACCATGCTTTTCTCCTGCCTCAGTGAACACTGAAGCACTCCAAGCCTTGGTCTTGGAGTGACTACAATGACTAGAGTATCCCCTAACCACCACCATGACCTCGCCCTCAGACCCAGCCATACGCCTACATTGGACATGTAGCTTGAGTGGAAAATAAACCTTTGCTGTTTTTAGCCCCTGAATTTCATGGGTTTTATTACTTCTGCATAATCCTGACTAGCTCAGTGTCTTCAGGATGCGGTGGTTCCTTACATGTGAGCGTTAGCAAGATGGGCATTGGATTCTTGAGCCCCACACACTTGCCTTCTTTGCTTTTTTTTTTTTAACATCTTTATTGGAGTGTAATTGCTTTACAATGGTGTGTTAGTTTCTGCTTTATAACAAAGTGAATCAGCTATACATACACATGTGGTCCCATGTCTCCTCCCCCTTGCGTCTCCCTCCCTCCCACCCTCCCTATCCCACCCCTCTAGGTGGTCACAAAGCACCGAGCTGATCTCCCTGTGCTATGCGGCTGCTTCCCACTAGCTATCTACCTTACGTTTTGTAGTGTATATATGTCCATGCCACTCTCTCACTTTGTCCCAGCTTACCCTTCCCCCTCCCCATATCCTCAAGTCCATTCTCTAGTAGGTCTGTGTCTTTATTCCCGTCTTGCCCCTGGGTTCTTCATGACCTTTTTTTTTTTCTTAGATTCCATATATATGTGTTAGCATACGGTATTTGTTTTGCAGTTCTATTTACAATAGCCAGGACATGGAAGCAACCTAAGTGTCCATCAACAGATGAATGGATAAAGAAGATGTGACACATATATACAATGGAATATTACTCAGCCATAAAAAGAAAGGAAACTGAGTAATTTGTAGTGAGGTGGATGGACCTAGAGTCTGTCATACAGAGTGAAGTAAGTCAGAAAGAGAAAAGCATTCTTTGCTTTTTATTTTCCTTTGCTATACAATATTCAGACTCTTACTGGGGGTATAACTTAGTCAACTGGAATGTTCAACTGGTTCCACGACCTCCTAGGATATGGTCCCAATAACGCAGGCTAAAATGATTCTCTTGCTAAGCACACTCTTCTTTATCTCAACTGCATGCCCAGCAACATCATAAATTTATGGAACCTGTTCACTTGGGGAGTAGCCAACAGCAACAAGATAGCTCACCAAGCAAAGATTCTATTGCCACGCAGACACACCCACACAACATTATCTATGAAAACTGTAAGATGTCTACCAGAGATCTCTCGGCCAAAGTAACTTTTTTTTTTTTTTTTTTTTTTTTGCGGTACGCGGGCCTCTCACTGTTGTGGCCTCTCCCGTTGCGGAGCACAGGCTCCGGACGCGCAGGCCCAGCGGCCATGGCTCACGGGCCCAGCCTCTCCGAGGCATGTGGGATCTTCCCGGACCGGGGCACGAACCCGTGTCCCCTGCATCGGCAGGCAGACTCTCAACCACTGAGCCACCAGGGAAGCCCCAAAGTAACTTTTTGAACATGAATTTTGCAGTTTGTTTCTTATACGTTCATATTGACTGGGCTATTCCTAAGCGTCTGTCTCAGTGTTTGCATATAGGTGCGTTGTATACTTTTAACTGAGCTCCGCAAGGATGCCCTTGATACCATCTACTAACCCATGCAACAGAGTGAAGCACACACATGCCACAGTGTGTGGGTCACTTAGTGTTATGGTTAAAGTTGTTCTGTGCTGGGCAGTATTTATGCATTGGTTCTGTCTGGGGAAGAAGCTTATAAGGTGATGGGAGCCAGGAAGTGAAAGTAACGAAGTACGTACCTAGCATGAAAAGAAATGACATAGAATTAAAAGGTGATTCCAATGGTGGAAAAAATGGAAGGAACACATTTTAAATTATAATTTAAAATACATATGCATGCCTATATATGCAAATATGTATATGTATATTTTATATGGATTAAAACACCAAACCCACGACAAATTAACTGAAGTCTCACTTTTGTTTTTCACAGGAGACCAAAATCAACTGTGTTCGTCTGGCTACGAAAGGTATGTCGGCATGCCCTGTCTGTCTTCAGCCATTTAAGTACTTCTCCCTGTAGCCACACAGGGAAATTTTAGGCAACAATGGCTAAAAATAACAGAAAAGAATTGTTATTTTCATTGGAGTCATTTGCATCTAGCTATTAATATATACTTATGGTATATATTAATAACACAGTGCCTAAAGCATAGGAAGAGCTCAAAACATATTTGTTTAGTCAGTGGATGGCTGGATGGATGGACGAACTGGTACATTAATCAGTGGAGTGGTAAATATAAATTTACTCAAATAGTCTTCTCTATAGATTTTCATTGTATTTGGGTCTGTGTTTGGGTATTTTTTTTGCTTGTCAATTAGACCTATCTTCTGGTTTTGTGCTTTATTCAACTGGCGCGTGACTTTCAAAAATGAGGTGATTAGTGTTAGTGCCTTCGGTAATGAGAAAACAAACACTGCATCGTTATGTAGTTGGCATTTTCAACACTAATCCCGAAAACTAAGGCAGCATTGTTCAGGCTCATCACTTTTTGTTTCCCTAATTGTAATTGAATTGCCTGACTCTTTCCGTTGGTACATGTTTCTGTTTATTACTCTTTAAAAACAAAATCAATGAATGGTTTGTATATCATTTAACCTATGACAAGGTTGAATGGTTAGAAATCAGGTTTATCTTTCTGTTATAGAATTGATCCTTTAAACAGCTATCCTCTCTGTATAAACACACCAAAATTAGGCAATTGTACTCTGTTCCCTGCATTTATGGACAGCATATACAGGTTCCTAGATTGCTTCCACAGCGATGATAAGTGTAAATATAAGTAAACATATAGTCATAGATATAAACTGTAGACAAAGACAATGACTCAAGTACGTATACACATATGTGAGGATATACACGCAGGCACACACATACAGAGGAAAATGCACACATGTCAGGGAGGGGAAGAGACAAGGGACGGGGCGGGGGGGAGAGAGAAGACTATTTTATGGTTATCTGGCAAAATATGCAGTGAGACCTATCACTTTTATAACTTTGAAGAAAATCACATCAATTTGTAGGCAGAAAAGGGAAGATGCAGGAGGAAGAAGACAGGAGCACTAAGGGCTCCCTGTGATAAGAACTCACTCTGGTTTCACATCCGTCATGAGAGGTCGACATGTCCCTAACGTGTTCTCTCTCGAGAACCCAGGCTACCAGACAGAAAGAGATAAAATACTCCTTGTGAGGCAAGGAGAATTGATGGCCTGCAAACAAAAGTGACACAAATTATGGGCCTTGGCAGACTTCTCCACTGAAGAAAACAGATAATCTAGAAAGAAGAACCTCCTCAGATGGCTAGCACTAAAGCTCTGGTCTCAAGCTGGACAGCTGGGTGTCTGCAGCATCCCCCAGGAGCGGGCAGGAAACACACAGAGAAACCTTCCCCGTGACGGTGCTCCACGGCTCCCACTAGCTCTTGACCCCTAGACGAGGGAGGAATTGATGCCATTGATCTCCCCTGCAGGATGTGTGGGATCCTAAGGACACCCTCTGGGACGTAAGCCCTCCTAAAGGGGAGTTTGTTGGATCGTATTTTCTGAACCGGGAATTCGGAACATATGATCGGACAGGCAAAGGTATACGTGGGGACTTCGAGAGAGAATATTTTAAAGTATATGTTGCTGGCAATGTCAGGACTTACTGTCCTGATAGACATAGAGCCCACCATGCCACACTTCTCCGAAGTTGCATTGCTGATCTGCAGAATTACAGTGGCCTTTAAAGAACTGGAACAGAAGAGCTCTCTACCTCTTCTTAGCATAAGGATTTCTCTTCTTGTCTGATGTTTAGGTTACAATCTTGCTTTAGTGGAGTGTGTTGTGTACACACGCCAGGTGTGGCGTGGGAAAGGATAGGAATGCATTAATGAGTATGAATGCCCAGCTGGCCATGCCCAGGCAGGGCTCAGAGGAGTCGGGAGTAAGTGGTGGATTCCAAGCTTCCACACCCTTGTTTTCCAGTGAGGGCCGTCACTCCAGCCAGGAGAAGCAGGCTCTAGCAGCACCTGGCAGTGGGGCAGAGGGCTGGATAATGCAGAATGCCCATCAGCCACAGGTCAGGGAAAGCTGTGTTTGGCATCCAGGGTCAACTAATTCACGCACTGCCCGTGAGGGCTTGGTATCAAGGATCTAAGTCCAGGAATATTTGACCCATCCCTTTCCTGATGGTGTGAATCAAATTTCCCTTTTTATGGGTTTGCTGAAAATACTGTTTTTATTAAGAGAGAAAATACGATGGTGGGGATCCTACAGGCAGTGGGGTATGTGAAGTCCCAGCGGCAGATTCCGTGGGCCATCTGTCTCCCTCCGGGCTCCTCTACCTCGCCGTCATCGTGGCACCTCCTGCACGGGTCTGCCGGCGGCCGGCCAGCGCCTGGAGTATGGTCACACGGGCAGGCTTGAGGCCAGTGCTGTGACGATGAAGCAACTTGCTGATGTCCTGTCCCTGACCCTGGTGACTCCAGACAGCATCTGTGGTCAGCTGTGTGGGTCCCGGGGAACTGGAGGGCTGCCACTCAGAATGGAACAGGCTGGAGCTGTTCAGGGTCGTTCTGACCTGACCGGATGCCCAGGGCATCTTCTATTAAATACAGTCCTTGGTTCTGGCATGCAGCTCTAGCCCTTGTCTGTCTGTAAGGTCGCTGTGAGTCACCCAAGCTCTAATTAGTGCTGCCCAGTTTTGAGGTTTGCGAAGCAAAGGGCCTGGGTTAGTTTTCGGCGACTGCAGAGTCCCACAGACTAAGTGGCTTAAACAACAGAATGTATTGTCTTACATTTCTGGAGGCTAGAAGTCCAAGATCAAGGTGTCAGCAGGGTTGGCTCCTTTGAGGGCTGTGAGGGAGAGTCTGTTACACTCCTTTCCTCCAGCTTCTGGTGCTTTTCTGGCCATCTTTGGCATTCCCTGGCTTGTAGAACTATCACCCCGATCTCTGCCTTCTTCACATCTTCCTCTGTGTGTGTCTGTCCAAATTCTCCCTTTTTATAAGGACACTGATCGTATTGGATTGGGGGCCCACCTTACTCCAGTATGACCTCATCCTAACTTAACTAATTACCTCTACAAGGACCCTATTAGCAAATAAGGTCACAGTCTAAGGTTAGGACATTAACATAAGAATTTGGGGGGAACACAGTTCAATCCATAACCGGCCCCATGCAGTTAGGGGCAGTGTCCAGTGGTTCCCATTGAAACCTCTGACTCTTTACCATTCACAGCGTGATCCCGATAGCTTTTAGGGATGTGCAAGGAGCCAGAACGGGCCCTGCCAGAGGGGGCCCCGGAGGTGGGCTGAGGTCCAGATGTGGTTCCTGTTCCTTTCGGAAGCTGAGCGAGGCTGCCTCATGCAGAGGAGCTGCGTGTTCTGTGGAAGGAGCCCAGGGCAGGGGGTACACACAGTGGGCCACCCGTACACACCAGATGCTGGGTCCGTGGCAGCAGGACCCTTCCCAGACCCCACATGATGGTGGAGCATCAGGTGCTGGGCAGGGCCAGGCCTGCTGGGACGGGCACCAGCACCACTGTTTGAGAGGAGTTCTGATGAGCAACTGCTCGGGCCTAACCACTAATTTCCCAGTCACATTGTGCCATGGCAGGAAGGTCCTGGCACACAGCTGACCCTCGAAAAATGCCTGCTGAAGTAGGAAATGCATTTGAAGTCAGCATTTCACTGCTGCAAGGCTCGGAGACTCTGGGGGTCTCACTCCATCTTCTCAAACCTCAGCAGCACCGTATTTAAAGTGATCCCCATCTACCCATTCACACAACGATTTTTGAACATACCTCCTGCCAGTGGTTTGCTGATAAACCTGCTCTTTGTAAAAGAAAAGCCCTTATTTGTTGTCTTTGTCCATTTGCAGGGTGTAAAGATACCCACAAATCCAATATCAAGTTACCAGTGGTTTAACAACTGGCTTACAAGAAAGTCCTGAATGTTTAGTGACATTTCTTCTGTAGCGAGCAGATGCAAGCCAGCTGCAGCACACCGAGACCTCGACCCACTAGTTTGTTATGAGGATCAAATGACATCATAAACATAAACGTGGTTTTATTTACTGCAAATTGTCCTGGAAATTGTAAAAAATCATGATCGATGACCATTATTTCTCCCGTGTGGTCAGCTCACTCACTGAGCACGTGTGAGCCAGGTACCTTGTAAGGAACTAGGGATTTTGTGACGAACCAGCAGGCGTGCTTCTGGTCCTCAGGAAGCTCACAGTCTAGGGCAGAAACAGACGTTAAGTGAAGGATGGCAACAGACAGTGGTGGAGTTACGATTGTGATCAGTGCCTCTAAAGAGAAGTGAGAGGTACTGAGTAAGGTGTGATGGCAGCAGAGCTAAAGCCCTAGGCACTAATGAGTGTGTGTTCCTGGGACACCCCCTGGGGCTCCCTCCCCTGGGATGGGTGCAGCGTGAGAGACTTCGTGCCCCCTCGTCCCATCACCACCCCTTCTCAACTAACACTGGGAATTGAGTCGAAGGGTGGCATTTGAGAAGCCAGCGGACTCAGGACCTCACCCTGTGAGAGGAGCTACACCCTTGGCCCAGACTCCACGGGAAGAGCCAAGTCCCCTGTGTTTAGAGAGCATCTGGCCGGTGGATTCACACACCACCAGGGGGCAGTATTTATTTATAGAGCCGGGGCAGAACCTCCTGCTGAAGGCGCTGCTAAAGGACTGTGGGGTGGAAGTTTGGTATTAGCTAGTGGAAGGGTTAGTTCTGGGATTAGGACAGGCTCCTCTCAGAATGCTGGAAGGCAGTCTTTTTCATTGATATGTACCTTGTTGATATGTACCTTGTTCCCCAGCCAGGGCTTGGCTGTTAACGCTGACTGGAGTTTCAGAGGAATCAGAACATGAGTTCAGCTGTAGTGGGGAAGAGAAATTTGTCAGTGAGCAGATAAAGAAGAATGGTAGCATTTTAAGACAGATTCCCGAGAAGCAGAGCCCGAGGCAGGGATTTGGGTG